AAGCTGCATCGTCACTGGATAGGCACAGTGAGAATGCACTGCTAGTGTCGGCTGAAGATTAGCGCAGTGTGAGAACAGCGCAAGGGTCTTGTAGGCGGGTTTCCGATCGGCAGCAGATATCGATCGAGTGTGTCTCTAATGTTGTAGGAAGTGATGCCTGTTTACCGATCTGCACCAATGTGCGTACGTTGAGGCATGTCAATCTGAGAGAGGTTCGGGGTACCAAATAGAAACCGATGAACGGGGCTTGACGCTTGGTTAGACATGGGCTTGTCGATAGTGTAGGGGTGACATTGCGCAGTTGCATGTGCTTATCAAAGCTTAGTCAGGGGCAAAGGATTGGGGTTTAAAACGGAGGGATAAAAGTGAAGTTGGAACGGGACGATAAGGGTAACGAAACGTGGGAGGGGATAAGAATACGGGAAGAATTGAGCAGCAGCATCCAAACCCTTATCCACCTTGATCGATGTAGCAGATAGAGCGCTGTTGATTATCTTTTTGCGGCGGCCAGAGCATCAAGCAGTTGTTTGAGGATATTGCGTGTTTCAATCTAAGCACACGGTGAGTGCTACAAATCCAACTTCGAAGTAGTTACCGCTGCGCCAAGCATTGCTCATGGATCTTAGAAGTTTAGTGATCATGGCTTCAGTCTTTATTCATTTGGCCCCGGGTTCCTCTCCTCAGACTATGTTCATCTGATGTGCCGAAACGACGACGAAACTGGTTGTGAGGTTTCAATGTTGGGAGGATCAACCCTGAAGCATCTCCATTCCCGGCACTATCTTTAGTTAGCCTAGTCTTGTGCCTTTTGAATACATATGTGAATGTTTTAGGTGGATCAGTCGACAAATGCTTGTTGATTGTTTTTGGTTTCTCAGAGTTACCATGGTAGATCGTTGTGGGTTAACTGGTTAAAGTAGTCATAGTATTAGGAAGCACGACACAAGAGGTATTTGTACTCTGAAGGCCATTTACGATGTGTTCCAAGTAAGTCTTATTGATGGATATGGGTTGAGTTTCGGGGAGGGGGTTTTAACATCAAATGTGGCGGGCCATTCTGGGAACAGGGCATAGGATGAATGACCAGCCATTCACGTGGCGGGTTGGAATTTTTTCACTTTTGCTTCCTAGTAGCTATAATGATAATTGTTGATACACCAACCTGTTCCGCAAGCAGACTAGCAGATCTTACTGCGATATCATATCTGCAGGATCCTAGAGGCAGCATTTACTTGGACATTAATATTTCCGTAAAAATTGGCGGAACTTTGTGGCAGAGGTCAGGCGACCAGTTAACGTTATGCATTTCCTTGTTTTATCTAACATTTCCTAAGTTGTGGCTTCGTTGAGCACATTAAGAACAACCCAGTTATTTAACAGACTTGTGGATCAAGAGCCATTTGATTAAGTTACAGTAAATTGTCTTTTGTTTGGCCTGTTGTCATCAAAGGATATCTTATTCCGGGGCTGTACAGTTGATTGTACTGTTCACTGCTGGCTGACAACACCTCGCAAACTGCTGTGGTGTTGGCCAAGCACTACGGCAGATCTAATTGGCATACACTAGCGTCACGTACGTGCATTACAGTTCATTAGGCTACTTTGTGCAGGTTGATCGGCGACAGCTCTATCCGATAAGCTGTTGATACCTTGATTACTTTATCCATATTTATCGTAGTTTACGAGCTCTGCTGTTTCCAGCATCAATGTGCATGTCGGGATCAATACTGTTTGGGCACATAATAACTGGGAGACTTCGCGTTGACACTGGAATCGATTCTTGTGTTATTTTGTATGGAACAGACAAAGAATGTTTTCAGCGATTCTCCGGAGAATAATAGGTTCCTTTCAATGACTCTCGATCACGCTTAATAACGACTGACTGAAATTTCCTCATCGAGGACATCACCTGCCTAGCCTGATTAAATTGTTGCCAGGTTTCGGAATCACTACCTGTGATTAGTATGGATTAGCTCTGGTTATGTGGTCTTTTTCGCAACTGATGGGTGTAATATTCTACATAGCTCATCCACAGATTTTCAGGAAGAATGGTCGGCGTTTGTCCATTGGAAAGTGAGCGTGTATTTTGGAGACAGTCAGCCAACAAGTTCTTCACGAGATTGTTCCTCGTATCGGAGTTAGTCTTCGGTGTAGAATGAATGCTAGCAGTTTGGAGGAAGCCGGTATTATACTTCTTGGTGATTTTTCCCACAGGATATGGGCAGCGTCTTGGCGATCGGGTCGGCAATCGGCTCCTCCTGAAATGATAATACCTCATCTTAGCAACAAATCTTGGTGACCTTTGTTGTTTTGTTGCTGACACTTATTTGGCCATCTTACTTGAACGGCTGCTGAGAAAGTCCGTCTCAGTCGTCATTTTTGTATCGCTTAAAGTGTCGGAGTTGAAGGCAGATATCTGCGCCTGTGTGTTGTTCCGGTTGAACAGCCTTCGGCATGCTCGGTAGACATGCGGACGGAAATGGCGTTGTGAATTAAGGGTGGTAGTATACATTCCAGCGGTCGATGCGCCTGCTCAGCTTACTGGTTGGTTGTACATTATCCTCTCAGACAACCTTACTGATGACAGGTGTTCTGGGGTCGTTGGAGGTTTCGAAATTTTTTGGTGAGAACTGTGATTTACAGCTTTGAGGCGCACTGCGTCTACCAAGCTTCGCGATCGCGATGCTTTGCTTGATTTACTTGCTAGGGATGTGGCTTAATTCCTTGCTTTGTGAATCGGCTGGGACCGTTTGGCGCAATCCAACGATGCGGATGTTGGAACGGAGATCCAGCCTCTCAGAAAGCGGAAAGTGATTCCACAGGGTGGTTAGATATAAGTGATCACTTTGTGCTGAAGGATTCTCCAGTGATGTTCGGCATCATAAGGTGAACCACTTTGAACGCACCTGATGTGGAAATTTGGTTGGATGGGCCAGCCTGTCTGTTGGTATCAATAGTACGGAATTTCAACTTCGAGGTTGCCATGTAGCGCATGTTCGCGTTGACTGTAGCGTGACCTCAGTCTAGGTAGATAGACCGTATCGATTTACTATCCTGTATACTGTCCTACCACCTGGATCTGTTTCGATCATGATCGATTTGTGACCGCAGTTACGTTGGCAAATGACTAGGTCTGCTGTATGCGCTTTCGAGAAATATGCTATTGTCCTCATTTGGTCTGAGGCGTCTGTTCGCTACCAGAGCGGCTGTCATCAACGGGGTAGTGGTTACCTAATTGTCCGCATGCCGCAGACGATCGACCTGTGCACTGGCGTCGCGAACAAAGACAGTTGCCTTTGTGTTTCAGTCTTACACAAATACTGGTGGGATTCTTGCTAAAAGGGCTGCTTAACCTCTGTACAGCTGTGGTCAATTGAACCGTATACGGAGACTGCAAACGTGCTTCATCTCTCCACTGTCTTTTGCTCATACGTGAGCCCTGGTGTCTGACTGCACGCATTTGGCTGTCGATTGGGAATCAGTCCAGCGGCGTGGTCCCAGCTCTGCCTTTCACTGCGGTGCCAAGACCAGTTAACCCGGCTGCATCTGCTTCTGTGTCACTAGTTCGACGTGGAAACATTTGTTTAATATCTTCGCAGCGAAGTGACCAAGTCTATGATCCATACAATAAAACCGGCTTTACTGTAGCGTTATCCACCCTACATTTCACTGACAAGCTAATGACCGAGAACTAAAACTGATGTACTATTCGTTGGCAGTGGTGTTTTGTTATCTCATCAAACCAGCGGAGTGAATAAAGAGCGAACTTTATGCTGAAGTGCATAAGATCTATTGAATACCGTTTCGGCGATGTTCAGGTAGACCATCTCTTCTGTCATTGTTTGTGTATACTTAAGCCCCGGGAGCTGGCAGCTCAGGTTGTCAGCGTCATTCACCAAATGTGAGGCACATTGGTTAAATTATCTACAGTACTGCCATATATGATCATAAAGCTGCAGTTGATACGGATAAATTGGTTGCAGAACAAATCGTTGTCGGAACCCCGGAGAGGGTCTTTCGCTGTCGTCCGTGTTTTATGTCCTACCGACTTGATGCCTCCTGTCTGGAGTTCTTCCTCGAAGAAGCGGACATTGTGACCGAAAATAAGGTTATATAAACATCTTTATGTGCAGTAGACAACGACTTCCACCAACTTACCAAGTATTTCTCTTTTCAGCGACATTCAAGTACTGAGGAGTTGAGTTTACGAGGTAATTCGTGTCCACTGAAATTGCATTCCGGGTGAGAGGTAATCAGTTGTCTTACAAAAATATTCGCGCTTTGTTTTTCAAATGGGACAGACAAACTATCGTGCCCTACGTGATAGCGCGGTGCTTAAAGCTTTGTTATTGCACGATGAAAAGACTGGAAGTAATGCTTCCCAGATGCAACCCACAGATGCATTTTTCTTTCACGCGAGAACGAAATCTATTTTGTCATATCCATACCATATAATTGTTCAGCAGTGTGCTTGATTTAGTCACGCGACCACGTTGAACATCGACGGCGTGCACTACCTGACTTTGATTTGAGCAGGTGCGGCCACCGATAACCACTCTAAACGGAATCACGTGTAGGTCCATGATACTGGAAGCGACAGAGGGAGAATGTGATTGGAGTGAGCAATCAGAATAGGAGTTTGACCCGTATCGAGATGAACAAGGTAGCTAATCGGTTCCGACTGGAACTGTGGCTACTGAATGCCCCAGTCATACTCTTCCTTTGATAGATGTGCGCGAGATGTCTCCACAACTGAAAGCGGCTGCCGCCCCACTGAGACTTCCATGGTATGCACTTCGAATCGTGAGGGGGGGGCAGTGGAATGTTGGCACTTGCTATTCATATCAACTTGTTGCTACTTGTGGATATCACGCGCGTCATTTTCTTCTTCATCCCCGATCTTGCTAGGTAGTTTTCGTCTATCACAACTTGTGTACGCGCACATTCAGTCTGATCATAGGGTTCTTAGGTAGTTGCTCACTTTCTGTTCCTCCATCCAGAACAACGCCCTCATTTATGTGAGCACTGTGGAAGATCGTTTACGACGAAAAGCCATCTACTAATGCACATCAGAGTCGTTCACCAAAGTAAGTATGGAGCTATATGTTTTCTGTTATTTTGTTATTATCTGCATCGTCGCTTCATCTTCCCCATCACGTGGCTTCGTTGGCATCATTCACACTGCTTGTCTGTTCTTGTCTTTTTCTTGTTCTCATAACTCGGACTAATCTTAGTTCATAGAATATTAATAGACTGACTAGTCTGATGTGTTTTAGTTAATATCGCTGGTGTATTTGCTAGACGCCGGTTGAACGGTTGCTGAGGTGCAATAAACTGAAATCACTTCATTTTCTGCTAAATCGCCTTTCAGCTATTGTAGCTCAAAATTAACAACGCACCCGTTTTCCACTTCGTAATTTTTTCTAAATGTTGCTCTTTGTGTTCCGATGACCATCCCAGTTGTAAGCTTGCTTGATAAAAACTCAGAACATGTCACATACTTCTACGTCTAGATGTTGCTCAGTCCGGGGCTTAGAAGGACAACATTTATAGACGATGTGGTACTCCAGGGTGCGCGGTAGATCGGCCTACTGTCCATTCTGAATGTACGTAGGAGGGTTGCCAAATGTTATGACGATTGGGCTCGAAGAAGAGTAATTCTTGGCCTCCGTAAAAATGCCATTGGAAGTAGTTTCAAAGGAACGCGAATTATTAGCATAAGTCAGCTTGTTGTGTGTTGGATGTTCACTGGGAGTGAAGTAGGCAGGAACGGAAGAATGCAACGTAGTAATGAATGTATAAGCATTTTTTCGCCGCGCTTGATACTACGCGGTTGTCAAAACCGAAGTAAAGGATTGTCTTAGGCGACACCACTGTACAATGAAATATGTGACATTTTATTCTCTATCGGCAGTGGTGGTGTTTTGATTGCTTGATTTAATTTTACAATTGGGGTTCGTTTAGGAGTTGATCCGTTCGCGTCCACCGCGCTGATAACTGTCATCGACATAACCGACTGCATTAACCGGTTTGCAACAGCTGTCCCTAGTGTGCCATTAGTGTGTTCGGGGCCTTGGTTAATGGGTTATAGTTTGCAGGCTCCGATGGCTGGTTCACATGTTGCGCATGCCAGGAAACCGACTACGGCGACTTGCATGGCTTGTGCGCCCAGCGTGTGGATGGAAGAAGTGGAGTGGAAACCAAGCAATGATTTAATCAAAAAGAGTTGAAAACTCTCACTTGGAAGTTGGTGTTCGTTTGTGTCTCATGACTGCCGGGGTGGAGTCCGAAAGAGGAAGAATACGTTTGGTTGGATAAACCAGTTGACGTAGCGAAGAGCCGACCTCGGTGTCGTTTGCGCTGTGAGTCTCTGTCCTTTTCTTCTTTTTTATTTCGTAATGTTAATATCTCAAACATTTGTATTGCGGCACATTAGCGGACGTGTGTTCCCCTCACCCTTAGCTAAAATCTTTGAATTGATTGTAATGGGAAATTAGCCCTTATTCCGGTCAATCTGACGAAAAAGTTGAGGGAATAGGTAAGTCAATCGGAATGATGGAGTACATCTGGAAGACATACTACGCAGCTGGTCGAACGAATCCCGGTGCATCATTGATTTCATTTTCTTAAGCATGTTTTTATCTTTCTAGTGTTTACTTCATCTTCCCCCTAAACTCCTAATCACAGGGTTGTACAGTCTGTTGGACACTTTACCTTCGTACAAAATTAGCACCAACTCGTTCTTGCCAGTAAGATACCTCACATAATTCTCCTACCTACTATACAATAACGAAATGAAGCCAATATTTAGGTTAGGAAACCTAGAATTTAATTGTCATCATTGTGGCTTTCCTATGCCGCAGCTGAGCTTCTCACTTTTGTTTCAGCCGTTTCATCACCAAATTATTCGACAGTACGTTTTATGTTTCGTGTTGGCGTAACATATAATGGCGGAGGCTTGTCTCATGAATTTGCCTCACTTGGTGATGATACTTCTGCAACAAAATTTGCAGGCTCGGAAATCAGATTTACCGGTTCCCGAACAACCTGAGTTATCAGTTTTCCTTTCCACATACTTCCATTCTTACAGATCACTAGCTATTTTGCATCTGTTTCCTTTATGTGATTCATCAAAACTTGCTCACTTTCTGTCCCCCAATTCAGAACGACGCGATCATACCTGTGGGCGCTGTGGTAGATCGTTTGCCAAAAAATACACTCTACAAGTACACATCAACAATGTTCATTTGAGTGAGTACGCAACTGATATCACATGTTTTGAGGCGGATCAGCATCACAGTATGTTCACAATGTGTTCCAATGCTGTGCTTAAATTTGGAATTGCCAAAATCTATTTTGTCTCTTGTGTCACCCGGCTCGCATTATCTGCACTCCAGTGAAATCGTCGTGTGTATGTCATCGGTTTAATACATGGCTGGCGACATCCGGTTTCGGATTTGCCTGTCACTGTGGCCAGCCACAGGACGCCTGCGCGTACTGAGAGACCATGGGTAGCTTGCGCTGCACCACCCACAGCTCCAACCACACACCCCATATTTAGTGTAAACCCGAAAGAATAAGACCGGGAGGCATGTGGATGGGAGCCACGTTTCATCAACAGAGCCGGCCCACTCTCCTTCACAGACAAACACAAGCACACTGTATTTGGGGAATCAAGCGCACACAAGGTGATGGCTGGACAGTAGTCCGCTTCACACTGAGTGCATGGAACCACTTTTCGAGCCTAGCACGGCCACAAGGACCGTGCACCCCCTCCACTCCAGGAATGACCAACTGTCTCCTGGAGCCAGTATGGACGAGGTAGTGGGTAATAGACAGGTAGGCACCATGTCAACATGCACATCAAGCGCAACCACACCGGGGATGTCAAACAACAGCTATTCACTTTAAATGACATTATGGAATAAAATATCTGTTAAAAATACGGCTATGCAGACATAACTCTTCCCTAAATTAGCGTATGAAGTAAGCTGGTTAGCAACGAATCCGCGATAAGTACAAAATGTACGGATGATACTCAGAAGTGCTACAAACGCAATGAAGTTAACAAAGATAACTACAATCAGCATAAGCAACGTGTGCAAGTTGCTAGAGGATTATTCAGGTATGCAGAACAAACCAGCTAAAGTGGAATGAAATTTACCCAGCTTAAAAAGACCTACTTTAAGTGTAAGTTGGTTTAGCCCAGCTGCGTTGTAGAAGCATCATAAATGCAACATCAGCTTCAGCATGGAGCGCCGGTTTAATGCCTACCTTGCGTTACATTATACATGTCAGCTGGGGTTGAAAAACATCTCAGCTGTTGTGCAACAGTACAAAAGAAAAAGCGTGCAACAAAGGCACGCCGGCTGAGTCGTCTTTCCGGAGAGCAAACAGCCGGCTTTTGTGTCGCAAATATGGAGTTATATTATGCCTAATAAATGAGATCGCGGTTGGAGGGGGAGGCACAAAGAATCTGACAACACAAACACCATTGAGGTTGGCTTCTAGCCATATCAACAAGTGTATCCAGCCAAACGTGTTCATTGTCTTTCGCACCCCAATCAAGGAGCCGCAGGCTCCAACCGAGGCGAAATCCGACCTAAGGGCCCACATTCCTCTTGACCTGCTCATTTTTGGCCACCCTCCTCTTCTTCCCTCCGCACACCCGGCGCGAAAACATCGCACGTCGTGCGCATCCGTGACCGGCATGCGCAACGCGTGGACCAGCCTTCGGAGCCTGGTGCGTTAAATGACGGTGCTAAACGGTTCGTTTCTTGTTCCTGTGCCATAAACAATCACGCTCATTGCTTACGCGGTATTACCAGCAGATATGAGCCAAACTGCGAAGGCACCGATGGTCTAGCCTAACTAGTCTCTTTATGTCCTCTAAACTAATGGTCCGGGTTGCACAACCGTACAGTAGGGCTGAGCGTACGGCTTTATTGCTCGCTCTACCCTTCAGTGATGTCGCGCCGGCGCCACAGGTGGCGAAGGTTAGCAAGTCTTCCATGCTTTTACTTTACGGTTTGTGACCTCGTCTTCGACTCCAGCGGTGCTGATATAACCACTTGGATAGTTGAATTTTTGAACTACTTCTAACTTATCCCCATCAAGGGTCAGCGCAGTAGGCGATCCCTGCCAGACTTGGAGGAAGCTTTGCACTTCGAGGAAGCACTGCGTACGCCCTGATGTAGAAGATTGATAACTCCTTTGACTGGTGGGACTAGTCTGTCTCTTAATATCAGAAGTACGGAACTTCTGCTTCGAGGGTTCTCTGTAGCGGATGTTCGCGTCGAGGTAGATGGTTCCTGTCGATTTGCTAAACTGTATACTATCTCACTACTTGAAGCGGTTTCGGTTGCTATCGATTAGTGACCGCAGCTGCGTTGGCTATTGTGCATGTCCGATGTTTGCGCTTCAGAGCAAGAAACCACTATCTTCACGTAGTCTGAGTAGTTTGTTCGTTATCAGAGCGGCTTGCATCATCGGCGTGACATTTATTCAAGTGTCCGCATGCCGCAGGTGGTTGACCTGTGCGCTGAAGTCGTGAGCAAAGACAGTGGTATTAGTCTTTTCCTTCTTGGTTAAGAGCTGTTGGGATCCTTGTTAAAAGTCATCCTTAACTGCTACACAGCTGCAGTCAGCTAAGCTGTGTGCGGAGATCACTAACATACCGCGTCTCTCCACGATCTTGTTTGTTCGTAAGTCAGCCCTGAAGCCTGATTGCACCCATTTAACTGTCGATCGGGAACCGGTCGAGCAGCGTGGCCTCACCTCTGCCATTCCAGACGATGCTAACACCAGCTAAATCAGCTACAGCTGCTTCTGTGTCATTAGATAAAGGTGGATATATATAGTTTTTTGTTGGGTACTTGATGTCATCTTGAGAACGCTACTAGTATCCTTCACTCGGGCCTAGAAGAGCAACATTCATTGCCGGTGTGGTACTCCAGGGTGCACCGTAAGTCAGCCTACTGTCCAGTCTGCATGATTTTATGTATGTGGGAGGGTTTGCAGGCGATATGACGATTGAGGTCGAAGGATAGCAACTGTCCAGACTCTTGACCTCCGTAAAAATGGCATTGGAAGTAGATTCGAAAAAAGCGAATTGTTAGCTTGTTGTGGCTGGAGGTTCATGAGCAGTGTAGTAGGCAGGAACAGAAGAACGCGACGTAGCGATGAATGTATAAGCTGTGGTTTTGTCGATACGCTTGATATTACTCGGTTGCCAAAACCGAAGTAAAGAATTGTCTCAGGCAACACCACTGTACCATCAAAGATGTTGCTTGTTATTCTCTATCGGCTGTTGTGGTAAGCTTTGACAAATTTTTTGCAACTGTGATTTTGTTTTGGAGTTGCTCCACTTACGTCCACCACGTTCCTAGCGATCATGATCCGAATCCGACTGGTTTAACCGGTTTGCAACAACTATCTCTCGTGTGCCACTGTCTATTCGGGGTCTTGGAGAAGAGATGGTATTTTGCGCACTGAGAGATTAGCCCTTATACCAGTTACTCAGTCGGAAAATAGAGACAATTAGTAAACCAATCGGAATGATCGGACCGATTTGAAACACGAACAGCGCAGTTGATCAAACGAATCCTAGTGTATAGATTTCACTTTCTTCTGCATGCCGTTATCATTCTAGTGACGAATCCTTCTGCTTCCTAGACGCTTAATTACAAGCGTAATACCACGTGGTGGACACGTTGTCTTTAGCGCAAATTAACATCAATCTGTTTCTACTAATGAGGCATCCTGCACATGCCTCCTTCATATTACGCAATAACTGGATTTACATTCACTTTCTAGATTAGGAAGTCTAGGATTTATTGGTCATCAGTAAGGCTCCTCAGTTTTGTTTCAGCCGTTTCATCACACATCCAGGTAGCCTTTGCGTTTTGCGTTGCGTATACTAATCTAGCGTATGGAAGCCGAGGCTTCTTTCCTGAATTCACTTCGATTGATAATGATACGTCTGCAACAAATTTTGCAAGCTCAGAGAACAGTTCTACCGTCACTCGAGCAACCCGAGTTATCGATTTTCATTTCCCTATATACCCACTCTGACACATTACTGGCTATTTTGCACCTGTTTTCTCTATGTGCTTTATCAATACGTGTTTACTTTCTGTTCCCCAATTCAGAACACCGCGATGTTACTTGTGGGCACTGTGGTAAATCGTTTACCCGAAAGAACAGTTTACAAGTGCACATCAAAGGTGTTCATTTGAGTGAGTACGCAACTAATATCGCTTGATTTGAGCCGGATCACCATCTCAGTATATCCACACTGTACTCCATAATTGTTGTATGGAATGTTGGAATTTTCCAAACCAAACCAAATCAAAATCGAAATCATTTTATATCGCTTAGCTCGCGTAATCCGATCTCTAATGGAGCCGCCATGTGTGTGTGTGTGTGTGCCACCGGCTGAGCTTCTTCTGTTTGATGATTGATCTTTTTCGCAACTCACTTGTCCATCCGGTAATGAACCTCTGGACTGACCGCTTTTCTATTTCCTGCCTTGTCACATTCTCTCCTCTGCTATTGGTCTTCACTTTCAGATTGGCACTGCGAATTCGAATTGATATTAATGAATCGTCAATCGTTGGAATGCAGCACATGAAAGGTGCATTTGCATATAATGCACACGTGGTCATTGGCATCCGTTTCCGTTACTGTTATAGCGAACAGCCGCAGAATGCCTACGCCAGTGGATAGTCTATTGAGAACTTGCGTTTCATCATCGTGTTCTGTGCCCCAGCGTAAACCCGAAGGAACACGGTTGATAAGTCATTAGGGCTCTTTTCGGTCCGCGCTTACATTTCGACATCGCGAGAACAACCGAAGCATCTTGTGCAGGGACGAGCTTATCAAACAAACACAGGGTGGCATGTTGGCCGTACTCGGTCCCTTGATGAGGCCGCTTTCAGTCTAACGCGGTCATATGTGGTCTACATGCGACTTATGAATTCCGTTTTGTCGATGTCATACGGCAAGGTAGTAACCTTGTTCCACAGCCGCATTAAGCGCACCTGTGCATTTCGCGTTGTGCATCAACATGTATTCACGTAACTGGGGTGCAGAGACAATCTACCACATTACTCGTCGCTTCTGCTTGTTCATGCAGTTGTCAACGCGCCGACGCTCTTATCCCTAATTTGTGTGTTCTAAGTACCCGATTCGATATTTAAGAAACTTTAATTTATCATAGTATAGGACTGCACCCACTTTTCATGACATGACGGAACGTATAGTGTCGGCGACTTTCCTTCTGGCGATCACATCTTGCAGAGCCGAACCCATGATCGCGTGCCCCTTGTGGTTGCGCCCCCATTCCGGTGCCCAATTTTGTCAGCACCCTGTCGCCGACATTGCTTTTTTCAGGCATAGAATACTCATTAAACCTCGCTTTGCCTGTGCCGTAGAGATCACTGAGTTGTGTCGCGTTGCGTGCTGATTTGTGATTCCTTCCACAATTGTAGTTTCGCCTTCAACGCTTTTTTGTATTACATGTGATTGCCTCAGCCAGTCTATATGGTGGTAAGGTCAAGTGAGTGTTCGGGTTAGGGTTAGTCAGATGATTGATTTGGAGATGACACCGGATTGAGTAGACGATGAGTGAGTAGAAGAGGTTGGGATTCCTGCATGTGCACTTTGTTTGATCTCTATGAATCCGCTATGTGCAGTTTCACTACAAGACTCCTTTTTCCTGTGGCACTCACACACAGTCTCTTGGCTGTTGCACTACTGATGAGCAAAACAACTCACGTCTTATGTCAGGATACTTGATAAGGTATCCTTAGAAGCAATACGAGATGGACTGTGCACCGATCAGGCCATGTGCCTCTGTCCCGTGACTTACTTGTTAGATGGCTCTGTCCTGACTGAAACCCTTCGATCACTACGGGAAGGCGTCCAAGAAAGTGGTCGGTTACAAAACCTAGACTATTGGAGGCAGCAACTCGTCACGATAGTTTTCATATGATCAGATTATCTTCTGTTCACTTGGATATTCCCTTTGCTCTCATCGAGTTGCAATTCAGCTGCGATGGATTACCCGAACACATATAGATCACAAGAGCCTATTACAACTATCCTTGGTACTGAGCCTCTAGAGTTCCAGACACTTCTCTTCCGACGAAATGATCACCGTTATGACGTAGAAAGTGACGCCTCTAGTTGTCATTTGTCGATTGCTCTAGATTCTTGTAAGAGACGGGCCGCTTGTTTTTTAATCCCCTGGATCGGTTGTTTTGTCGTCTCTTTTTATGCAGATGACATCATAACAGCTTACAATTTCTGGGCTCAAATCGATTGACGCTGACCTGATGCACATGTGTCTGATGATGGGTGAGAAACACTCGTGTTCCTTGGTTTCCCAATGACTGCATCGTACCTGATAGCCCCTAGTCAACAATGTGCATGTGTGCGTACTGCAATCTGCAGTCGAAATACATGGGAAACTCGTCCTGAATTTCCAATGTTTCCGTTTGATCGGGCCAAAGCAGACTTCAATGGTGTTTTGCAGTCAAGGTTCCAAGCTGGAGGTGTTCCATTTTACATGGTTTGTCAGTTTGTCAAGTCAGAGACTGCAAGTAAGACACCTCGAACAAAGCTCCTCTTTCGGAATAGGCAGTCAGAGAATATTCCCTGCCTACCTATTAAGCTTTCCCCCTCCTCGGTTGCTATTCCTTTGCTCGAATGTGCTCGTGTTTACCAGCCTCATCAACCGCTCTGTCAACAAAGTCGAATTATCTTTCAAACCTGAGAAGCGTATTTCATCGAAACTTTCAATATCTGCATACAGTGTCAGATTAGTGAACAAACGCCGCTCATTATACCTTTAGTTTCCCTCGCAGTTCTTGTTTGATGTGCCTCCGACCACGCATACAAAACGGTAGCGTTCTATCTAGTCGACGCTTACGGACTCGTGTACGGATGACGTAACCTCAGAGATAGTTAATCTCGCGCTGTCGGTATCACCAGTGTTCTGCAGCTCATTTGACGCGCTGATCGAAGAAAAGCCCACGTGAGCGAAACTGGAGCCGAAAACAACTGGATAGTTGATGCAGTCAGCCACCTAGACTAAAACGTACCCGCGTATCGAAAGTGGCTGCTGCGTTCGAAAGTTCGAAGAGCGTGTGTGAAACAATTATCATCTTACCGTTGGAACGACGCTTATGGTATATAAGTCTATCGCGCTGTCCATTCCTCTATACGGTAGCGAAACCTGGGCGACATACCGGAGCAATGGCAGTTATGTGGTTCGATTTCGCGCGTTTGAGTAAACAGGTGCTAGTCCTCAGGCTCGTTATGACCACGACGTGGATTTTCTGCAGAACATGATTGACAGGCTTCTCGACGTGAATGAACAGGGGTTGCGGTTAAAGCAAATCACTCGTCTTGAAAAGAGTGGTGGGGAAATCCCGGCCTCTGCGAGTCACCTTTGTTGCTACAATGACTCCGAGGCTGATACTATCCCGCCTCAATAGGCTAAGAGGTTTAAACATCCATTTTCGTCTCGCTTTCGATCCTTTGAACAGAGAGAAACTGAGGTCCGCTATCGTGGAGTTGAAGCGGCGGACTGATAGTAGCGAAGCCAGTCTCCACATCGTAAATTTTCGGGTAGTTCCCTGGGTCTGCCGAACCCGGGTCAACAGATCGATGATGCTACATGCGCGTCTGCCGATTCCTACCGCGGCCTGCGCATAGCCTTCACAAATGTTTGTAGTTTAGGGAACAAACGTGACGATGTATTTCGCTGCGTTGCCTCACGTCATGCGGCCGTACTAGTACTGACCGAAACCTGATTAAATTCGGAGGTCACCACCCAGAAAGTTCATACCAATGGCTACTCGTGCTTCCAGTGCGACAGACTATCAAACGATCGAGGCGGCTTGCTGTTATGCATTCGGTCCTCGCTGTGCGGGGGGCTGGTACACATCTACTGTAGCGAGAATGGTTTGTGCGAACAGTTGTGCTCCTCATTCCGCTTGAGACGGTAAACTGTTTGTGGGTGCTGCTTATCGCACCCCGCGTAGTCGATGCTTGGATTGGTTGCCGTATGCCAGAAACTACATGAGTCGGTCCCGCTTCCTGCGTATGGGTGATTTTAACTTCCCTCGAATACGGTGACCTGATGTTCAACTTCTCCCCGGGCGCTATGAAGTTAAGGCCCAGTTTGTGGAGATGGTATTTGAAACTGGGGCAGCACATCTCTGCCAACCGACGCACGTCACATCGCATTCCGCTCCATCGTGCCTTTGCCTACTACTAACGAGTTGCGAGCAACGTGTACATGAAATTCAGATTCTGGAGCCCCTGGCAGCCTGTGGCCACTCGATGGTGTTAGCCAGCCTAGTGCTGCCGCTGCCCTACTCCCGTCCACCGGAGCCGTCCTACACTTCTTGAAATACCGACTTCGATGGTCTAAATCGAGCCGCCAGTGAAGTAGACTGGTCGCTGCCGCAGGATTCTTCCGTTGAAGCCTGTTGGTCTGTAATAAAAGAGGGTGTGCAACCGTTGTGCGCTCCTTTCGTACTCCTCAAGTATCGAAAAGCTGGACCATTGAAGCCACATTAGTTCGACAGAGAGTATAGTCAATTGGCTTGACGGTGACCCGAATTGTGGAATAAACTTCTCGTCTCTGGCTCTGCCAATGACTATGAGGCGTACAGAAGGCAGTGGAATTTATGCAATAACGCGAAAGCCTCGGTAGTTCGAAGAGGAGCTTGCAATTTCACCGAAGACGGCCCCCAAGAAGACTTTTGCTTACGTGAAGCGGCGCCTGAGGCCTGCATTTGGCGTGGCTGTGTTAGAGGACACTGACGGACGGCCTCTGACCTCCAGCACCGAACGTGCGTCTGCGTGGGCGGAACACTTGGCTTTCGTATATACAAGTGGGCATGCACCTATGCTTTGCTCCTCGTGTGCAGCCCCTACTGAACCCGAGGGCCTTGATTGCGGTGTAGATGTCCGCAGTCTACTCGCCAGTCTTGATGACACAAAACCTACCGGACCCGATGGACTTTACCCGCTAATTTTGAAGCCTTTAAGGCCTTCATCTCGCCTGCTGTGACGAATCTGTTCAACAGATCGTTGTCCGAGGATACATTGCCGAGCGACCGGAAATGCTTGGTAGTGAAGCCGATTCCAAAAGGTGGTGACCCACGCAATGTGGACAATTACCGGCCGATTTGTCTCACCTCTGTTTTGCCGGTGCTCGAGAAGATTGTGAAAAAGGGGTGTTCTCCAGCTGCTGGAGTCCAAAGATCTCCTAACACCGGCACAGCACGGTTTTATGAAGGTCTGCTCGGGCATCACCAACCTAGTTTTGACGCGGCAGGAATGGTTACATTCGTTGAATCCGGGAAGTCAATGGATGTTATCTATCTTGATTTCAGTAATGTGAATCATGAGATCCTGTTCCACAAGCTGAGGATGTGGGGTGTTGGTGGCGCACTGCACCAGTGGATCAGTGACTTCCTTTTGAGGCGAAGATGTTGGGTTCAGGTGGATGACCACTTAACGGAATGGTACCCGTCCACTAGCGGCGTACCCCAAGACACAGTACTGGGGCTCATTTTATTTCTGGTCCACATCAGCGAAGTACCTCAGCTTCTTCGGTCGCCCTGCGTATTATTTGCGGATGACCTGAAGATCTGGAGGATTCTTAATTCTCCCGGCAACTATGACGTCCTTCAACAAGACCTCGACCGTCTATCCTGTTGGTCTGCAGAAGTTGACCTACAGGTCAATACGGCCGAGTCCTCGTTTATGAGCCTGGGGAGGGGTAGTAATGAGCGTGAGTACATACCGGCCGGCCAGCCGGTGCATCCCACCAGTTCCGTAAAGGATCTAGACCTACTCTCACGTTGTGATCTGAAGCGTATCTACAACACGAACAGACTGTACGCAACCGGACTACGCCTGCTTTGGCCACTTAGATGCAGCTTCTGCACTTGGTCTGAAGAGATTGCCACCGTCTGCTCTCATCCAAGATAAGATCGGCGCTAGAGTACGGCTCACCTACGTATTGCCCGATCATAATAGGTGAAGTGCAGAGACTGTAACGGGCCCGGCCTGTAGTTACCTGGCTTATCCCAGTTAACGGGGTGTCATACGAGGACCGATGTAAAAGACTAGGGCTCTCTACCTTGTCACACTGTCGGCTTCGAGTTGATCTCATTATGACACACTGGATACTGCACCTGGTCCACTTCCCTATGTTGAAGCCGCTGCTTCACGTTCGCGCAACAAACAGCACACACGGACGCCGGTACACATTGCTCACTCTCTATGCTTCGAGCGTCGAGTTGTGAAATATTGAAACACATTGCCGGGGACGCTAGTCGAAATGAAAACAGTGTCGGAATGTAAGCGATTCCTTGACACCCACTTTGCGGACTATAGGTATAAGGAGCGTATCGCACCCGGATAAGTTGTAGTGCAGCTGCAATATGCTGCTACCGCGCAGGAATTCGCGACGTGATTCACATCATGTACTCGATCCACCTGCGATGGAGCGACATAGATTGTTATCTTCTCTCTCTCTATTCTCAGTATTCATCAAGTGTCTGCGACGGATTCTACGCATTAGCTGGTGCTGCAGAGTTGTAGACACGGAAATGCTGCACCGCGTCCAATCCATGCCACTGATATGCATTAGCCACCTCAGGTGCCACGGTAATAACATGCAGTCCACTGCGGTGCAGCACTCCCGTGTCTGTAACTTTTTCGCACCAGCCGAAAAGTAGAATCCGTCGTAGACACTATGGTCACTGTTACATCGGGTCGACCAGTCAGCCTCTGTGATCGGCGTCGAAATTAACATCAAGCAAGACGAAATACTTCTTATCATTTGCCACCCAGTCCACCCCGTCGCTCTCCTTACATCGATAACTCATCTAATCTTTCCCTGAGTTCAAGTATCTTGGATCCATTATACTCCCCAGTGGTCAGGCTACATCGGAAATCTGGAATCATATTGACAGCAATAGAACAGCCTTCTTACAACTGATAAACACATTGTGGCGAAGGACAGAAATTAGTCTGAGAACGAAGATCCGAGTGTGCTCAGCAACCATTCGTGTCATTTTACCCTATGGTTGCGAAACATGGCCGCTGCGCTCCGAAAACACCCGGAATATGTAAGTCTTCGACCATTGGTGTCTAAGACTTATTTTGAAAACGCAGTGGCATGAACATATCACCGTAAGCGCTGTCACGGTCTTCCGAAGCTCACAAGGCTCATCGAACGCCGCAGACTACAGTGGTTTGGTCACGTCCTCCTCAGACCATACACTGACTTCACTAGGACCGTGGTTTCACCCTCGCCTTGCCTGCTTGGAGCTCGCCGCCGACCGCCGCGCTTGGGTAACTGCATTTCGCGACATTTTCCTCGGAACGCGTCACGTGAGCTTAAAGGCCTTCGACCGCTTTAAATATTTTGCCGTTAACATCGCAATTTGATTGAGTAGAGACCGTGTCAGACATGCCGCAGTCACGAAGTCAGTCATCTGGTTTTTAATTTTCGCTCCATTCTAATTAGCTTAACGCGTTTCCTACTTGCTTTCATTTTTTCTACATTCTATTTGCGCTTAACCCCACTATCTTACCGTTGTTATTTATTGTTATTCTTGCGGTATAAGCCGTGGCAACTAAATCCACCTCACTTTGGGGTTCAGATCATACTCTGTCAACTGAACTCAACTGCAAACGTAACTACTTGCCTCTGAAACATATTCGCCATTTGTTTTCCAGATGATATCACTAGTAGACGAATTACCGCATCTTATCGGATAGCGCGATGCTTATAGCTTTTTAGTTGAATGATGAAAAGGCCGAAAGAAATGCTTCCCAGATGCGTTTTTCTCTAGTGCGAGGGACGAAATTTATATTGTCATATCCACTGCATAAAATTGCTCGCCACTGTGCTTGTTCTGTACACGTGACACGTTGAACCTGGACGGTACTACAATCACAACAAGCGTGTACTACCTGAATTTTGCTTAGAGGAGGTATGGCCATCGACGGCCACTCTAAACGGAATCACGTGCAGGTCGAAAGTGTTTGAAGTGTTACATGATGAATATAATCAACCGAATTGGGCGTTTGACTTTTATCGGATGAACAAGACAGCTAAACGGAACCGACCAGATTTGTGACTTCTGTTGATTGTCCCAGCCATTATTTTCCTTCGACAGAGGTGCAGCAGATGTGTCTGCGACTGAAAGCAGTTGCCGTCCCACCGCGACTTCCTCTGTATGCACTTTGAATCGTGGGGGGCAAAACAAAGTGTTGACACTTGATATTAGTATCTATTTATTGCGACTTGTGGATATCACGGATGCCATTTTCCTCTTCATCTCCGACGTAGCTAGGTTATTTCTACACTGGGAACCAGTGTCCTGTGTGATGAACTGCCAAATCCGTCTACCACACCTTGTATGCCCGCATATTCTTTTAGGTTATGTTCTTCTTATGTAATTGCTTACTTTCTGTTTTTCCATGCAGAACAACGCCCTCATTTATGTGAGCTCTGTGGGAGTTCATTTACAACAAAAGGCCATGTGGAACTGCACATCAGGGTGGTTCACCAAAGTAAGTATGGAGCTATATGTTTCATTTTATTTTGATGTTATCACTTGCGTCGTCGCTTCATCGTCTCCTTCACGTGGTTTCGTTGACATCATTCACACTGCTTGTCTGTTCTTATCTTTTTTCATGTCCTCCTAACTCGGACTCATCTTAGTTCATAAAATATTCACATATTTTAGACTGATTAGTCTGATCTGCTTTAGTTAATATCGCTGGTGTATTTGTTAGACGCCGGTTGAACGGTTGCTGACATGCAATGAGCTGATAACACTTCTTTTTCTGATAAATCATTTTCGCTTTTGTATTATTGTTGGTTATACTGTCTAGTTCATTTCCCGAGCGTTTCTTTTGCTTTAGCGGAGCTCTGTTTTCTGGATGTTGAAGGTTTCACCTGATACTTCCGGATCACATGTGGCAGAGTCTTTCCCATTGATTAGACCTTAGCAGTGGTGCGGATTTTCCCTTGTCATATCGCCGGTAATATGTACCGGTCTTATTCAGTTCTGTGCGTGAACCAACTTTGTATACCTCGTGATTGTGATCACTCGCGTAAACTTATCTGAGATGGTGATCATTCCGTTCTATGGGCTTGAGATAAATTTAGGATCAAGGATGTTGCCATCCTTGTGTCTCGAGGTGTTTTCTACTTAGGCGATGTTTTCCCTACATCATTAGGGTTACAACCTGACGTTGCATCATTCCGCTTCTGTTTTCACATCGTGGTCCGTCTCTACTTGTCTGCTTTCTATTCCCCTATTTAGGGAAACGGTCCTATAGATGCATGCACTGTGGCAAATCGTTTCCTCGATATGCTAATTTACACACACACCTCAGAGCCGTTCATTCGGGTGAGTATGCAACTGGATACCTCCTTTAACTCTTGCTGTCATTCCATAATATCACTGACTTCCTTGGCACCACCGTTTGCTGATGCCTGTTATCTTGTTGCCTTGTTCGCCTAACATCATTTTTACCCTATGTACTCAGGATCTAAAACAAAGAAAATAAACATCAGCTGTACGTCGATACACCGTGACGACGTTTGTACCGGTGACACCCGGGTTGCATTTCAATCGTCTTGTCTCTTCGGCCACCGGACGGTTGGACCTTAACGTGGTACGGTGATTTCCGTACCTCAGGGACCCATTGGGTTACACTGGTTGGTGCTTTTAGCACCTTCAGAACCACTCATACCAGATTGATCAATGGTTAGAGGCCAAATTACCTCTCTGTCCTGACCTTCCAGCTTGGGAGTGGAGTGAAGGTTGCTCCTTGCGCCATAAAACGGGCTCTGTGTAGCTCACTTCCAAACCCGCTGCCTTGTGGTCAGATTTTTGAACCAAAGGCTTTGCTTGAAAACCCTAACCGTTCTCCTGTCTAGGTCTGGGCAAAACCATTGACTGTATTACAACTTGCTCATCAGCTGCTGTTTCTGTTAGTCACTTTCACGCTACTTCATCACACGCCAATTGTTTGTTTGTTAACAATCCCCAGTTTCCGTTACCCGATTCATGTGTTCAACAACCCGGCTGCGATTCCGATTGCGCCGCAGACCAAGGCGTTCAACCTATGGCTCTCCTTCGTCCCCGATCCTCGTTCCGTCTGGCGTGCTTTAACGTTCGGACACTCATGCCGATTGGACAGCAAGCCGGTCTAGCGCGCACCCTAGATTCCCTAGACATTGATGTATGCTGCATTTCAGAAACTCGATTGCAAGATCCCAGCGCTGTGCTTACATTGACATCCCCCACTGACCACGAAGCCAGATATCACCTGCGTCTTTCTGGAGATCCGGAAGCAGCCTCAGCGGGTCTGGCTGGTGTAGGTATAGCACTAAGTGACAAGGCCGAGGCCGCACTACTGGACTGGTTCCCGATTAACAGCCGACTATGTGCAGTTCGACCTCGGGGTTCATGTAGAATCAACAGGCACCGCGAAGAGAGACACAACTTGTTTGTGATCTCCGTGTACGCTCCAAGTGACTGCAGTGGCGACTCGGTCAAGGACGATTTCTACCGGGATCTACAACGGCTCTTGACTACTGCTAAAAAGTCGGATGTCGTCATCCTTGCTGGGGATTTTAATGCACGGGTTGGCTGCCTGTTACCATACGAACGCCACCTTGGTGGTCATCACTCGCTCGATGAGAACCGTTCTGATAACAGAGAGAGACTCCTCACATTGTGCGGAGACAACCGTCTGTTTCTTTCGAGCACTAACTTCACGCGTACGAAGAAGCGTTCCGCAACGTGACGTCCCTCTTCTTCAACACAACCGTGGTCGCAAATTGATCACATTGCAATTAGCTTCAGATGGCGCGGCAGCGTACTGGACTGCAGGTCCTTTTGGTCCACCTTCGTTGACTCAGATCACGCTCTGGTCTGCGCGAAAATCTGTATGTGTTTTGGAGGATCCCGAAACACGAAGCACTACAAGATTGATGTAAACAGATTAACTGATTCCTTTGTTCAGGCGAGCTATCAGCCTTCATTGGCACGTGCACTCAGTTGCAATCCACCGCAAGAAGTGGAACAACACTGGACTTGTATACAGAAGACGATGACCATTTCCGAACAGTCATGCTGCGCCCTAACTCGACGCCGCTTGAAGGCTTGGATCTCTGTTCGTTCTCTGGAGCCGTTCGAACGCCGCAAAGATATCCCTTCGGAATCAGATTGCAACGAGCGGCGCCGTTCTGCCAACCGACTGCTCAAGCAAAGCATACGCAAGGATCGCGAGACATGGTGGTCTGAGCATGCTTTGGAGATGGAGAATGCTGCCCTCTCTGGCAACACTCGCAGGCTTTTCCAACTCATTCGATTCACTGTCCTCAGGAAGCCTGGTGTCAGTGAAGTCATTTGTGAGGTGGATGAGTCTCCGATCACCAACCAACAGAGGCGTATGGACCGCTGGGCCGAGCACTTTCACTCGCAGTTCAACTGGCCTCCACCATCCATCAGTACATGCAGTACACGTTGTTGTCCATTCTGGCTCGTCCCTCTGAATCCACCCAGCGAAGCAGAAGTCTGCCTCGAGATTCGACGTTTGAAGCGCTTCAAGGCTGTCGGCTTAGACGGACTTCCTCCGGAACTATTCAAGTACGGCGGTGTGGCGATCATTAACCAGCTGACTGCGCTCCTTGCAAAAATTTGGCATGAAGAGAAAGTGCCTTCCTCTTGGGGCGAATCAGTTATTGTCCCGATTTTCAAGAAAGGCGCTCGCACTTCATGTGCAAATCATCGCGGGATGTCTTCTTTCGGTTGCCTCTAAGCTATTGGCATCCATTCTGCTTCGCAGGCTATCCCCAGTACGTGTATCATACTACCGTGAAGAACAAGCTGGTTCCCGTCCTGGCCGCGGATGCGTGGATCAAATCTTCACGCTCCGCCAGCTCCTCGAACATCGCCACATTTCTCACAGGCCCACTATCATTTCATTTCTAGACATACGTGCCGCTTTTGACTCCTTTGATCGACCTACTTTATGGCGTTGCTTACTAAAGAAGTGGGTGCCAGAGAAATATAGCGCCATCTTACGAGCACTTTACCTTCATACATCCGGCAGAGTGAGGCTCTGTGACGAGCTTTCCTCGCAATTCACTGTCAATAGCGGTGTGCGACAGAGCTGCCCTATGTCCCCATTCCTCTTCAACTTCGCAATCGAAGACGTTCTGTCGAATGCTCTAGGTTTCCAGTAGTTTGGCCTAGAGCTTCTACCCGGTGATGACGCGACCGACTTAGATTATGCTGATGATATCGCCTTACTTGGTGACTATCCTCAGAGTATGCAACTCATTCTGGATCATTTGGCGGTTGAAGCATCTAAGTATGGCATGAGCTTCGCCCCATCGAAGTGCAAAGCATTGTTTAAGGATTGGCTTTCACCTGCTCCCGTACTCACTCTCGCAGGTGCACAACTTGAACAGGTAGATAGCTTCGTCTACCTTGGGTGCTGTGTTTCTGCAGGCGGCGCTATCAACAAAGAAGTTTCTCTTCGTATCGCTAAAGCTCGATCAGCATTTGTCAATCTGAGGCACTTGTGGCGTCGTCGCGACGTCTCATTCTCGCTAAAGGACCGCGTTTACAGCGCATCAGTTCGCTCAGTATTGTTGTATGGGTGCGAGTTTTGGCCGATTCGCGTAGAAGACATGCGTCGTCTTTCTGCGTTCGATAACGGTTGCTTAAGGAGGATCGCTCGTGTTTGGTGGCAACATCGAGTTAATAGTAATGACGTTCTACGTCGCATCTTGGGGAATGCGAGTATTCCCTTCAACAAACTGGTTTTGTTGCGCCAGTTGAAATGGCTCGGTCACGTCCTACGCATGGCACCTGAGCGTCTCCCGCGTCGCGCTCTATTCGCTCGTCAAGGACCTGGCTGGAGGCGACCGCGTGGTGGTCAGCCTTCCACTTGGCGGCAGCACATGAAATCGCTGACGTCGTGTCTAGGCGCTGTTGGATCCGTACGTCTTCCAGGATGGGGACCGAAAGATGAGTGCCCGTGGCTTAGCACAATGGAAGATATGGCCCGCAACCGGAATCAGTAGAAGAATTGTGTACAGTATTGTATTGATTCACATGTTTGATACTACAAACATTAAAATGACGGAAAAAGAGCAAAAGCAGCGTGTGAAAAACAAACTAAAAATGTTTTGTTCTACTTTTTGTCAAAATGTTCCATTCTTCTTGCGGCATATTAGTTGAAGTGTGTTGCTCAACTTCAACTAGCATGCCACGATGATTATGACGCAATGAATCTTGCTTATCTGCTGATCTCCATGGTTTTATGCCTTCTCTATGTCTAGTTAGTAGACTGTTGAGATTACATACATACATACTGGGCAACTTGGGAGTATCCTTCCTGCACAATACTATGCGTCTTTCTTCAAACGTTTTCCTGCTGCTCTGGCCACCGCAGAGAATAATCAACGGTGCTCTATCTGCTACATCGAGCAGGGTGAATAGGGTTTGGATGCTACTGCTCAGGTCTTTTTGTCTTCTTATTCCCCCTCTTACGCTTTTTTACGCTTATCGTCCCGTTTCAAATTCGATTTAACCCCCCCCCCGTTTTCAAGCCCCCGCGTCTTAGCCCTCCCGTACTTGCTTTGCTAGGCCTTTCAAATCACATGCAAACTCGGATCGTCACTCCTGTCCCGTTGAAAAGCCCATGTCTAAGCAAGTGGTCCAGCCAAGCTCATCTTCTTCCGTTTGGAGCCATTGATCCTCCTTCAGATTGTCATGCCCCAATGTACGCACGTTGCTTCAGATCGGCCAACAGACAGCACTTGCCTGAACCTTAGAGACTCTCTCGGTCGATTTTTGCTGCCTATCGGAAACCCGCCTAAAAGAGCCGAGCTCTTTTCCCACTCTGCGATGCCATTCAGGTGACACTGGCACTGCTTTCTCACTGTGCCTATCCGGAGACGATACAGCTTTGAGTTCCCGCCAATCCATTGTTCGTATTACCTTAGTCCTCGGGATTGAGCTGCTCTGATTGTTTGGATCCCAATCAGTTGCCGGATATGTACGGTCCGATAGGCTGGCTCGTTCAACGATTCTATGTCGTGCGGGACTTATAGATGTCTATTCGTCATCGGTGCATACGCCCAAACAATCTATAACGATGATTCCGCGAATAACAACTTCTACCGTCAACTGAACGAGCTTTTTTCCCCAGAAGTAGCCCGGACACTGTAGTGTTGGCTGGGATCTGAACGGTCCAATTGGGAAACTGTCCACTGATGAGCTGAATCTGGGCGACCAACATGGTGTAGGCTTCCGTAAAGATAACGGTCAGCGGCTACTACATTTGTGTGATTATGCTCGCTTACATCCTGTGAGCACTAACTTCC